GATCACCAGGGTTACGTGACGACGTAATCCAACTGTATATTTTCCATGAGAGGTTAGGTGTGTGACATGGGTTGATGACATGTTTCACCGAATCAACACTTGGTTTGGATGTGTTGAGGCCAACATTTGGTTTGGATGTGTTGGTTACATCATGGAATTATACAGTGGTGTGACTTTGGTTTGGATGTGGAATATGTATGCATTTGGTATGGATTGTATACATTGGTTATGGATTCTTTATTATCATAGAATATGTATGCATTGGCATGGATGTGTATACATTGGATTTTGGATTGGTTTATATTTGGCATGGAAATAACTGTTTATAATGTTGTCACTTCTTTGGTATGGATATATACTGTTAATGAAACATCTATTTTAATGATATTTTATTATACTATGGTTGGTTTTATACGTGGAAACCCTTATATTTCCATGATGTGGACTGTGATGATCTCACTATGTGGGGGAGCAGATCAGGTGTTATGCTTTGAGATAGCAAGGATTCTTTTGATAGCTACTTTGAGAAGTGGCTAGGCTTAGAGCTTGACCAGCACCTAGGGTGTCTATCTTATATTTTCATGATGTTAGCTTTTTGGATTACTGTATAATCTTACTGAGGATGATGACTCTGTTATAAAAATATGTTATATATTTTGGAAACAATTTATACGTTATTGTATATTTACACTCTAGTGTAGTTGGCCTTTGCTCTCTTTTTCTAAATTATATATTATTTTATTTTAGTTGTCATATTGGTTGTTTCTGGATGTGGCAGCCTAGGGTGGGTCGTTACACTTTGGAGCTCTCTGGTTGGTCCACGCCGGGCGCAACTATGATTGCGCCGGGCGCGGATGTGTTCTTTCTTGATAATGCTGATTAATGCTGTTAATGTTGTATGTTGTTGTGTTGAGTAATGATGAGTTGTGCTATGAGATGTTCATGTTGAATGATGTGGTTAAGCCGAACTGAGTTGTATGCTGTCTATGTTGTTAATGTCGTATGATGTTTAAGCTGTATTGATGTAAAGTTGAGCTGTGTTGTATGTTGTTAATGCTGCTATGTTGTGTTGTGCTGAATGTTGATTATAAACTGTTGTAGGCCGTAAAGCTGAGTTATTGTAGGTCGTAAGGCTGAGCTGTTGTGGGCCGTAAGGTTGAGTTGCTGTAGGCCGTAAGGCTGAGCTGTTGTAGGAGATCTCCGAGTTGAAATGCGTGACGATGCATAAGCTGTTTGATGTGATTTTGCTGAATGATGTATGTTGTGCTGTGTTGTGTATCAACTTTGTTTTAGTTGTCATATTGGTTGTTTCTGGATGTGGCAGCCTAGGGTGGGTCGTTACACTTTGGAGCTCTCTGGTTGGTCCACGCCGGGCACAACTATGATTGCGCCGGGCGCGGATGTGTTCTTTCTTGATAATGCTGATTAATGCTGTTAATGTTGTATGTTGTTGTGTTGAGTAATGATGAGTTGTGCTATGAGATGTTCATGTTGAATTATGTGGTTAAGCCGAACTGAGTTGTATGCTGTCTATGTTGTTAATGTCGTATGATGTTTAAGCTGTATTGATGTAAAGTTGAGCTGTGTTGTATGCTGTTAATGCTGCTATGTTGTGTTGTGCTGAATGTTGATTATAAACTGTTGTAGGCCGTAAAGCTGAGTTATTGTAGGTCGTAAGGCTGAGCTGTTGTGGGCCGTAAGGTTGAGTTGCTGTAGGCCGTAAGGCTGAGCTGTTGTAGGAGATCTCCGAGTTGAAATGCGTGACGATGCATAAGCTGTTTGATGTGATTTTGCTGAATGTTGTATGTTGTGCTGTGTTGTGTATCAACTTTGTTTTAGTTGTCATATTGGTTGTTTCTGGATGTGGCAGCCTAGGGTGGGTCGTTACACTTTGGAGCTCTCTGGTTGGTCCACGCCGGGCACAACTATGATTGCGCCGGGCGCGGATGTGTTCTTTCTTGATAATGCTGATTAATGCTGTTAATGTTGTATGTTGTTGTGTTGAGTAATGATGAGTTGTGCTATGAGATGTTCATGTTGAATGATGTGGTTAAGCCGAACTGAGTTGTATGCTGTCTATGTTGTTAATGTCGTATGATGTTTAAGCTGTATTGATGTAAAGTTGAGCTGTGTTGTATGTTGTTAATGCTGCTATGTTGTGCTGTGCTGAATGTTGATTATAAACTGTTGTAGGCCTTAAAGCTGAGTTATTGTAGGTCGTAAGGCTCAGCTGTTGTGGGTCGTAAGGTTGAGTTGTTGTAGGCCGTAAGGCTGAGCTGTTGTAGGAGATCTCCGAGTTGAAATGCGTGACGATGCATAAGCTGTTTGATGTGATTTTGCTGAATGATGTATGTTGTGCTGTGTTGTGTATCAACTTTGTTGAACTTAATGATGTGCTGATAAGCTGTAGCTGTTTATAATTTCTATATATGCTGATTCTTTTCACTAGCTTACCCTTATCTATCTCCATGTTGTTTGGACTACAATGATCATACTGTGTATGGGAGCAGAGCAGGGTTAGGCTGGAAGATAGTAGCAGGTCGGTAGCTGATAGATGGAGCTGATGTTTGTGGTTTTTGGCTACTTAGTGTAGCTATTTTGATGTATTTTGTATATTGACTCTTTAACCCCAGACTAGACCTATGTATATATTTTATAATTTATATGCATACTCTATTCTATATGGTGTTGTTTGTTGTGGAACAGTTAGGCGGGTCGTTACAAAGTTGAATTGACTTTTCATTACTAAAAAAAGGTTTAAAATATTTTTTTTAATTATTATAATTTTACATCTTTTACTTTTTAGTTCTAATAAAAAAAATAGATTTTTTAAGTTTATATTTATTTTTTAAAAGTTTTTTTAGTCTTTATAATTTAATATATATTTTTTTAATTTTTATATTTTTAATTTTTTAATCCTTTTACTTTTATCGTTATTTCTTTTTATAATGTTATCTATTTTTAAAATAATTCTAGTAATATAAAGTGGATATAAGATATAGAAAATTGAATTAATACATTTGTTATATTAACATAAGAACTAAAAAATCTATCTTAAACTATAGGATTAAAAATGATTGAAAAAGTAAGTATAGAAATTAAAAATATCTATTATAAATTATAGAAACCAAAAGGTTAAATAAGTAAAACTATACGAAATAAAATATTATTTTAACCTTAAAAAAAGAAAAAACAATCCATATAAGATGATTTAAGAATTGACCAATCAAATAAAATAAAAATAAAAGAAAATAAAGCCATATCATCTAAATATTTAAGAAATCAAATATATCTATCATTACCAATAATTTTAAAAGATAAAAAAATATAAACATCAAAATAATTACAGGTAG